TATTATATTCATAGGTTTATTAGTAATTTATTGTTAGGTATTTTTCATCCTTACCAAATGTTCATCGTTCTTTTTTTGAAAATATAACATCCCTAGTATATTTTTACAGTGATTATCGAATGTGGTGTCTTAACGGGACTCAAACAAATAACGACTAATGTTGGTCTATAGAAGTTGCAATCGCGTTTACTTCGAATACCCATAATTTTGTCTGCTTATTTATTATGCGTGTGCCTAAGTTCCGTATTTAGTGTTTTCGTGTAATTGTTAGTTTAGATGATATTATAAAGAAGTGTTAAAAAGTAATATTAAAGTTAAAGTATTATTATATATATTTTAAGGGGATGTTGGCATAAAATAAGCTACTAAAACAGCTACTTCTACGGCCTTTCTGTTGCTATCGGAATTTTGGTTTTTTAATATTGTATTTTTTTGCGACTATGCTCACTGTAACGGCTATAATGTGTTTTGTTTAGTCAATGGAACACAAAAAAAATATATAGGTACCTTTTATATACATTTTCGACTAGATTGCGATTTTTCACAAAGCTTTAATTTTGAAAGGGAGAATGTGTACAAATTATGTCCGATGTCGATAGTAGGATAAATCCATTAGTAGAATAATCAGCAAAAAAATATAAAATGTTAGTATGGCTATATTTTATGTATAATGAATTTGTTTGTATTCGTAATGCTGATACGCAACATTTTCAATAAGCCACCGACGTCCAGTGATAAAAAAACATGTCAGATTTGATTATTGGGTCGTATTGGCGTGTTACTACGAAGTGTGTTAAATGCGTAAAATCTAAACGTGTTAGAGTGTTATTATGACACGAAAAATGTATGTACGATTCAACGTTAGTCACGTGAAATGGAAAATCAAAAAAATATTCGAAACTCGACGCTACAAGATCGCAGTTTCGCCTCGTGAACCGCATGAGGGTGAGGCAAATAAAGAATAAATTATTAATCAATTGAATTCTACCATAGTTCTACTATATAGTACAAGTATGAAGTTAAAAACTTCTATTAGAGTCTTAGTACAAGTACAAAATTGAAAATTGAATAACAATAATATGTTCATTGATATATTTTGTTCGATAAGAACCGATAATATTTTTAGTTTGTGATAAAAGTATTGTAGGTATACATTTACACTAAACGACATGATGACAACCTCTCCGTTCCTTTTTCTTTTAGTGGAAATCAAGTCGTTTCGACAAATGACTAATGGATAATGTTGACAAACTCTGAGACCCAAATTGTTCAGCCTCATTTAATAATAATTTTCCGACTTCTCCCACTATTATGATATATAATATTTTTATAATCATAAGGCCGTCCGAAACGTCTGAGGCTAAATATTACTTGCCTCTCGGCACTCTTCGGTTTTCGTCGAGATCGTTTTATCGTTCTACGAACATCGTCGTGATTTTTGATAACAGTGTCGAAGTGGGTATAAATATTATTATGTACTATGGCAGTTAATATGTATTAATTGTTATACATGACAAAACAAATTCATTTTGTCATGATAATAATATTATATGATAACAAAAAGCTTTTCTATTATAAAATGTATAGAGTAAATTATTGAATATAATATTCTTAAAGTCGATCATGGAAATAACTATAATTATAGTATATACCTCCTTTTTATTTACAACAGTTAGGTGAGATTGAGCCTCACTTGCCTCACCTGACGATCCGCCACTAAGATCGATTAAATAACCGTCGTATTGTTGGTTTATAGATTTTTTATTTTTCATCGATCGTTTAAAATCTGAACAACATTGTTCGAAACACGTCTTAATTATATTGTGTAAAGATTATCTATTTCTTCAATATAATATTAAAATGTATAAGTAAGTTCGAAAATAGGTATAGAGATTTTGCATAGACTCCCACATAATGACGTATAATTTGTTTGGTAAACTTTCTAAAAGTTACAATTGTATTATCCGAATAGTGGAAGAAAATTGACTCAACGTTGATCCATATACTTGGTATGTTCGAGATATATTATGCAATTTCGTTTCCAAATTGTTTCAAACTATATTGTTTGTTCAATAGCTGCTCTGTTTATCGTTTGATTAACACGTAGGTATTATGTATGTTTAATGTTTATATAAGTCATAACTTAGTTGCTTAACGCTAATTTTAGTTTTTATTTTTCATAATATTCATTCACCACGTCCGGAATGTTTATCCATAATATTATATGAGTTTACGAACTATATTGTTGTTTTATTTAAATATATTTTAAAACAAAACATTTATTGTAGTGTAATATTATGACGTTAAACATTGTCGAGTATCAAAGCTGTAATACCATACCTATTATATAAATAGGTACAACTAACATAATAATATGATAAACGAAAATACCAGAAGTACATAAATTAACTTTCTGGTTTATATTCATAGATTCAGGGGCGCATTAAGGGTTCACATATGGGGGGCAAAATTATTTTGCGCCCCTGGTGTATTTTATGAATATTAATGAAAGTATAAAAAACTTAAAAAAAATTTCCTCGCTGCGCTCGAAAAATTAAGTTAGTACCTTACATTTCATACAGTTATTATACCTACATAGATATCTTATTAAATTAATTACTAAATATCTATTTGGAACTTGGAATAATAATCCTTTCTTTTAAAATAGTACTGGTAATTGGAATATTTATTATGTAAAATGTTTATATTTCATTAACTAATAAATACCTCCTAGTAAGCAACTCCTATATTTTAAGTTATTTATGGAGTACCTATGTATTAAGCATTGAATTATAATAATAAATATATCTTTATTCTTTATTAACAATAAAATATTATTACATATTATAAAACTATTTAATTGACAAATATGGAACAATACTAATTAAAATATTTTCTTATTTTTTTGTTCACAAACTCTTTTATAATACTTGACCAATCAATACTTCTAATCATCTCATTTTCTATTGACAGCCCTAGGCGCACATTGGGTGTGAATTCAGGGGGTGCTGGGATAATTTATGGTTCACACCTCCTAATCATAATATTTCTGCATTGCATTAGATTTAATTTGTATAGTGTATACAATAATTTCTAAAGTGCAATGTATCAAATAGTCTGTATGATTGTAAAGAAGACGCTAGGTACGCTAGGTACACCCACATGTGTTGTCTCCGTATTACAGACGTAGGTACAACATAGGCAAAACTGTTTTGCACGGGTATAAAAAACATTCAGGCTCTACTCTAAGCTAAGAAACTAAATGTTCACACTATAAAAATGAGAAAATTTACTCTGTAACTTTGTTTTTATATTTCCGATATCAAAACCAAAATAAAAGTTATTTAAGTTTGATAAACAAAAAAAGGTGCTCTGCTGTACAGTAGGGTACAAGTGGGTCCCTGTATAATCGATGGTATTAAATTTGAATTCAATGATATACTAACATCATTGTATAAGAAAAACGATTCTGAGCGAAGACGGTTAGTCAGCCTATGATATTACTAAGTATATTTGATGATACTAAGGTGAATAAAGCAATTTATATATAACCTATTTACGTAGAATCTTGTTTTAAATTTTCAATCATTAGCTATAAAAGTTGAACATTTTATAAATTTTTAACTATAAAATTATTATTAAATTTTAAATGAGATAAATTTTGTCAAAATTTGAATTTTAAATAATTATTAAAAAAAATTGTGCCTATGTATTTTTAATATTTTTCAAGTGTTATTGTAACAATATATCAGGAGCTTTGCATTAAATTTTCAAGCTTTTTTACCATACAAATAAAATTTTATTGATATGAATAGAAAAAAAAATTAAAATATTGAAAACTGAAAATGTCCGTAAATAGCTCAAAAAGAATCAAAATATTTTCAAAACTATATGGTGTATAGGAAATGCTAATATAAAATTTTAGTAAAATTTTCAAGTATCTACAGTCATTCGTTTTTTAATTACAACAAAATTAGAAAATCGTTACACGAGAAATCGAGTGAATATCAAATGTTGTAAAAATATGAATTTCAAACGTTCATAAAAATTTAATTTGAGATTCTTGTAGACATTTTTTTTTTTGATAAAGGTAGACAAACTTATGAGGAATCTCGCATTACATTTTCATATCTTAGATTTAAAAAGAAAATTTTTTATGAATTTCTAACTCGAAATAATTTGCAAATTTTCGTCATTTTCACGTATTTTGTCAATATTTGGAATTTAAATGCTTATAACAATTTGACCCCCCCAAAGTACCAACTAGATTCACTTTCCTATCAGAAAAGATACTGTTGAAGAAAATCCAAGCACTTTTACTGCCCTAAAAGATGATGACGGACAAAAAAAAAATGAATTCGTGAATTCGTAAACAGTTGTCAATATTTGTAATGAAAAGAAAAATTCCGAACCAATAAACCACGATAGTTTATAAATGATTGGTGAAATACTGAAATAAACTGAGGGTGCTAGTTTGAAGCTTGCATATAAATGCCCATCTCATACTATGACATAACTTTATATACATAATTTATAACGTTTAATAGTACATTAGTATGATAGTTCTAATTATTATTAGTTGTTTCTTAAACCCGAGTTTTCCATTATGTCATACAATTTGTATGTTTTCTTTTTGACTCTGAGATACAAAAAAAAAAAAAATTACAAAAATGTACCGCCCCCAAAAAACTTCCGCCCTGGGCAAATGCCCCTTTTGCCCCCCCCTTAATGCGCCCCTGCATAGATTCGTACAGTATACGTTACAGTTTTTCGTTCAAGACTTTGATTATATTTGTAGCATCTTAGGACCACTAACTTTAACGTTTAACTGAAATATTGACACGATCTTATTTTAGTATTATACTATATTATACACGACAGATCGATCGCGTAGAAATACAGAATTTATTTTATTATTTATAATCAGTGGTTGTATGTTTAAAAATGCTGACTTTGTGTTTTTCGTTTTCAGATTTTGAATATAGAATACCGAAGTCAAAATGAACAACAACAATATGGGGAAATTATCTTTGGTAGCAGTTACAATTTTGGTGGCTACTGTGGCCGCATATCCAAGCAAACCATCTTTCCTCGGGTGCCAGAGCTCAGAAGACTGCGGCATGGACGAATGTTGCGTTTTAGGTACGTATTTAGATACCTACCGATTAATACAATATTAATAATAATTAATACTGATTAACTATACAATTATTACAGTATAGGTACCCCAATAACCTATCATCGTTCTGGGTATAATCGTAACAGCGTTTCTGAACCTTAAAATTATTATGCTACAAAATAAATTTACTGTTGCTAAAGCGGAAATTCATATTAAAAATTGGCCAAGAGTTCAAACTGACCTATCGGCCAGACATAAATTGATTTTGCCTACTCTGAATTATATTACAATATTATGCTTAGATATTTATATTATATTTTGATGGCAAGGAATTTTTTTTTGTTATTCAACAATAGTCTTGAAAAATAAAATTATGTTAGCGATTCGTAGGAAACTATTTGCAGGATGAAATCGGTTTAACGTTATTACAAAATCACTCCGACAATACTGTTACATATGAGATAATAATATATAATATTATTAAAAGTAGTACAATATTGAATATAGCATAGTATTACCTATATCTACTTATATTATAATAATATGTAGATATAGTTTTCAAATGATTCGGTAACGAAACGTTGGTCGAGGGAAAATACATTTTGGTTGTCGATATTAAAACGAAATTGCACTAGTCTCCGGAATACAGGACGTTTACAACAATATTCGTTTCGCGTGAGCACAGTTTCCCGGAATCCGGATTAGTTTTTAGAGTATTGCTGTTATATTGTAGATACCACCGAGGTTATTACGTGAAGTTTGAATACCCCCCACATTGACTCGTCAGCTTCAATATAAATAGGGAGAGGGATATTGGATATTAAAATTTGCATTTATACACGGTTATAGTTTATATCGATTTCATATTATTATATTCGTTAAACGAGTTGAATCATTGACGACGATATTACATTATGACGTGATATTCCGCATATCGATTTACCCGTGGCAGTGTAATTGTACAGTACCTATATGCGATTAAAATAATTACATTTTTGCGCACATCAAAATAATTTTCGTACCATGCTCATGGGTATTTAAATATTATAATAAACAGTGTATAATTGGAAGATGTGAGGTATTTAAAATAATTTCAGTGTACAATTGTCAATTCCTTAAGATATACCATGTTATTATATTTACCGATACAGTCATACAGCTATATTTATACGGCTTTGTTACCTTATACTTTTTAATAATATTAATTAATAGTTATGTCTATAAGTCTACAACACCTAATATGGCTTATGGACGACAATTTGGTTGGACCGTTATGCTTCTATAATGACAACTATGATACTAAAAATAATTCAGGATGTCATATATTGAAAATAGCTGTGTTGTACAATACTAGTATTTCCGTGTAGACGTGTTTATCAAATCAAATTTCGCGTACCGATGATGAGAAAATTCGACTGTTTCGTGTGTCGACCAAGAGAGCCGCATATGGTGCTATAATATGCATAGGTGAAACTACTGGTTAGGCCAGTCAGGCCGTGGCCTGTCCTAATACTGACTGAATAGTACCTACTGACTTAATGGAATTTAAAATTTAGAACTTATTTTATGGTTGGAATTTTTTTCATGTTTTTCTTTTGGCCTATCCTAATACATGTTTCTAGTTTTGATAATATTATGTAGGCAGTCTCAAACAATATTGTCATGATCAGTTTTATCATTTGAAATTGAAAACCTACAGATATCATAGCAGATAATAATAATTAGTTATGTTGTAATACACAACTAAAAACGTACTCCCGACTATTTGACATTGGATTTTATCGTTGGACTGCTGCAGCTATACAGCAGCAGCAGCAACAACAATAATATGATTACGAACGTTGCGGAAATTGTGCGGCTTATCAAAATTCCATAATTAGAGTTAAAAAAATATAACAATAACAGGCTATCGCTGTTTCATTAAGTGTTATTATTGTCACAATAACTCGAGTGTAAAAATTGCGTTTTTAAAAAAATTAAATGAAAAAAAAAAAAATGAAAAAACAACCCATAAAACGACGACACCAAGGACGCGAGGCTCGGCGCGTCAATGGGATATTTATTGTACGCAAGTAAGAAGAAAAAAAAATTGGTTTCGGTAGAAAAAAATCGTGTCTACGAACCGCCGCCTCGCCGTGCACAATTAATTGTGCAAGACGCGAGTCATTCGTGTACGACCGAGCTATAATAACAGTGTTAGTGCAGTACCGAATATCGCACAATATTCGTGTGCACATACATAATATTATTATAATGACGGTATGAAATCGGCTAGCGTAAAACCATCAATAGCTTCTTAAACGGTTTTGTTTATCGTACCTATAATAATACCTATAGACGAAAAAAAAAAAATACAATGTCGTGAGAATCGACGCCTTCCACATAATATTATCATCATCGTACAGCGCCTACGCTCGGCGGATCTTCGTCTCCGAATGTCAAGGAGCTATTGTCGTATAATAGGTACAACGTTCTATCGTACAACTGGACGGTTTTTGTGAAAAGGGGATCAAGTCACTTTTTGGACATTTCGATATTATACATGAAAATTGTACGAAATTTTACGCCGCATCCAACGGTAACACTGTCAGTGTCCAGGGATCATTATTTTATGATAATATTAGCTTGTGCGTTAAGGATCATGTCAAAAATACATTTTTCTGTTTGTGAGAAAGGTATCAAGTCACTTTTCGTATTTACTATTTAATAATTTTACTATTTTTCATTGTCTTGGACGTTTCGTAAATCGAATTAGTACTTTTATTTTCTTATTATGTCGAACAGAGCAAAGAAACTATTGAGGTTGGCATGTAACAGTAAGTAAATTGTTTTAATAATACCAAGTGTAGGTACCTACTTTTAATGAATGTCGGTTGAATCTATATATTTTTTATTCAGATGTCAATGTCAATAATCGTCTAAAACCTGCTGTATGCAGAAATTTAAATAAAACATTTCGTAATATACATACGTACAACAATGAGGATGATGGATTTTTAAAAAACTATATATTAGTGAGTACCCTATTAGTTTGTTAGTGTGATATTATATCATAACATGTAGTATTATATAGATCATTATAGTCAGTTAAACAAATGTGTTATTATAATAAATGTTTTAATTTGTTATAACATATTTCCTATAATATTAATATCACAATAAAAATTGTTTTATCTAATTTAAATTGTATTCAATTTATTGTAATAATATTCTATTTATATAACATTCTATTTATAATATAAATATATTATATTATATTTTATAATAAATTATTATATTATATTATATATTACTTTATTTTCAGCAATGGGTAAATAAATCAGAACCATCGTATGGTCTGTCAGATAATGATGATATGTTAATAGCTGAAAAACACATTGAAGTAATGTTTTGATTAGTTTATTAATTTATTTATTGTTTTATTTTTGAGTACCTACTTCTTATATACCCATATACTTAGTAGTTATGTAATATAATTTGTTTGTAGGAAAATGTAACTAGTTGTGCTACAGACAATACAAAATATATAGAGAACTTTATCACATTAAATAGCATAAACTATTCACTTGAATTTAACAACGATGATAAACAATTTTTTGAAAATAATAACTTCAATAATAAAGATAACATGTTTGACATTATAGAAACACCAATAAAACAGGCATGTAACATATTGCATTTTAGGTATATAACATTTTTATTTAATTTATGTAGCAATTTGTTTCTATTATAAATAGGATAATGGTGAAATTGGAAGCCAACTAAGTGTTATTTTGGGTACAACTGTTTCATCTTTTGAAAACCTCATTCCTATTGAACAGGTATACATATTATAAACATATTGTGTATATAAAAATATATTATAATTAAATTTTATATAAAAAATATTTTCTAATATATTAAATAGGATCATGATGAAATTGATGGTGAACTAAGTGTAATTTTGGAAACAGCAGTTTCATCTTTTGAAAACCTTATACCTATGGAACAGGTATACAATATATAAACATACTCTGTATATAATATATTATAATTACATTTAGTATAACAATTTGTATATAATATATTAAATAGGATCATGACGAAATTGAGGGCGAATTAAGTATAATTTTGGGTACAGCTGAACCATCATTAGTTGGAAGTCATGAAGAACATAATTTGAATACAGAATATAATACAATTAATAAAAGAAAGTCCAGGGTGAGTGTGAAAGGTGATACCAGACAATTTAGAATTTATAGAAATCAAAGAAGAAATACTGGAATGGAATATATAACTAATACAGGGAAAATAGTAAAATCTCGAACATCTAAAGCACTTCTAGATTGTAAAGCCAAGTGTAATAGTAAAATAGAAGATAGTTTACGTGATCAATTATTTAACTTATATTTAAATTATACTTATGTTCTCCTAAGATAAGTAGTAGAAAAAGAAGGGATACACCAGAAAAACAAAAACCAAGGGAAAAAACATATCAATATTATGTACCAAAAAATGGTGAGTTATTACGTGTATGTAAAGGTTGTTTTATGAAAATATTTGGTGAAAATACCAAGTTTTTGAGAAATATTTGTACTAATATGCTAAGTTCACCAGCACAGCGATGTTCTCCAGATAAAAGAGGTCGTGCACCACCTGGAAACAAACGCTCTCAAGATGATATTAAATTGTTGATTAATCATATTAACAAACTTCCATGTTACGAAAGTCATTATTGTAGGAAGGAGACTTCAAAAAAGTATTTACCAAGCCATTTTACATTACAACGAGCTTATGATGAATATAAAACAAGTGTAGAAAAGCCAGTAAGTCGAACACTGTATGAAAAATATTTTAAAAATGCAGGGTTGAAAGTCAAGAATCCCAAAAAAGACACTTGCGCACTGTGTGACAAGTTTAAAATACAGCTTACTGATAACATTATTTCACCAGAAGAAAAATCTAAAATAATTGAAGATAAGATAAAACATCAAGACGAAGCTGAGCAAACCTATGAATTAAAAAGAAACGACATAGCCACCATGTCCAAAAACCAATGTGTTTTATCGTTTGATTTACAACAGTGTCTTCCAACACCCTCATTAGAAAGCTCTGTTGCATTTTATAAACGACAATTGTGGACCTACAATTTAACTGTGCACAATTGTGCATCTAATACAGCAACATGTTATATTTGGTACGAAACTTTAGCCAAACGAGGGGCTAATGACATTGGTTCATGTGTGTACAATTATTTAACTAATTTACCAAAAAATATAACACATGTAACTATGTACAGTGATTGCTGCCCTGGGCAAAATAAAAACAGTATTCTAATGGCAATGTGTCTGTTTTTCTTGGATCAACAGGAAACTGTTCAAATAATTGATCACAAGTTTATGGTATCAGGCCACTCCAGAATGGAGTGTGACTCAGATCATGCAAAAATCGAAAAAGCTCGGAAAACATTTCCTTCTTCAATAAACCACCCGTATGATTGGATACAATTAATTAAATATGCAGGAAAAAACAAATTTTTGGTTGTAGAAATGGCACAAGATATGTTTTATGACTTCAACAGTTTGTTCAAAACAAGCTATCAAATGAAAAAAACTAACATAAATAAGGAAAAGTTTGTGTTTCGTGATGTAAAGTGGATTCGCTATACTAAAAATGAAAAAGGAATAGTACACTACAAGACATCAGTCGATTTAAATGCCAAATTCCATAAATTGAATCTAAACAAAAGAAATCCAGTTTCAATGAACATTCCAAAAGCATATGATGATGATTTATTTATAACTGAAGAAAAAAAAAAGGATCTTATGTCTTTATTAAAGTTTATACCAGAAACATTTCATAATTTCTATAAAAACTTAAAATCAAACAAAAATACGGTCGACCCTATAATATCTGATGAAGAGTATTAATAATAAACTAAGATTTGTTTTTATTTTTCATGTTTAAAGTTACTATTTATTTTTAAATATTTATCTATACTGTTTAAACATATTATGTTATTGGTGAATTAAGTTCCTATATATTATATTAATTAAGTAAATTATGATTAAGAAGTGTCTGTGCAATAGTATTAACTTTGAGGTATTTTTGAACACATTTTATAATATTGTTTAAAATATGTTATGTTTTACTACATAATTATTTTATTTTGTTTTAATTATTTTTCAAAAAAATAAAAGTTTTAAGTTGTAATCATACATTTTTTTTAGTCAATTTATATAATAATTAAAACTACTTACTGTATTATAAATTAATAATATAATAATAATACATAATATTTTAATAATATACATAATTTTTAAATTGATTTTTGTTGACTTGATACCAATAGCACAAACGTTTTTCAATATTAACGACTTGATACTTTTTGCACATAAGAGTATCAAGTCATATAATTTAACAAATTATGTGCTGTTAGTGTCAAGTCAACCAAAATGACTTAACAATTATATTTAGGTATTTTGTCTTATATAAACATGTAACAAATCAAAGTTAAAAATAAAATAAAATATCATACAATTTTTTTTTAAGAAATTGAGAATATAAAACGTTTTTATTGTCTACTGAACATTTACTGTTTTTGACTTGATCCCCTTTTCACAAAAACCGTCCAACTGTATAATAGTTACGTGATAATACAAACTATCGTATTATATTGTTACGTGTTGTCGTCGATTGCGCCGCGGGACCGGAATAATATTATTTATTATACATTATTATTAATATTTTACGAACCTTTTTCAGATTTTTAGTCGGAAATTCTCTATTTTTTCTCAATCATATATATTTTATGGTTAAACAATATGACTATATATTATTATTATTATTCCGAGGAAGGACGTTTTTTTTTTTTTTTTTCATCTCGTTTTCCCCGTTCTCTGCAGCATGTACAATACATAAAAATAGTATTGACTTTTGATTTTCAAATGGTAGTCATAGTTTTGGGTTTCAATGCGAAGTAGAATTCCCGTCGTGTCCGTCCTTCGTGATCATCGTTGCCGTGGTTACCATTGTTGATTTTATGAAAATATTAATTTACCATATTTTTGGCTTTGGGGTATATAATATTATTATTGTCGGTGTCGGTCTTCACATTGTTTTTCATTCAAATTAAATTAATTAAATCATCATTCTGCTAACACTTTATTATCTCGTCTATCTGCTGCATTCAATGTATTATATTATTTTGTGTCTATAGTAATAACCAGTACTTGTGACTTATTAAAATTATTGGTTGTAATTCATATAAAATGCATAAAGAAACTGCAAGAAACCTTGGCTACAGTCCTACAGACTATGTAATTTCCAGACATTATGTTATTGGTAGTAATACAACTCGTGGAGTTTAAAGACAATTAAATATAGTTACAAGGTATAAAATACAAATTATAACTTAATAAACACTAAACAGTGAAATAAGTAATTAATTAGTTGCGGAAAATATCGATCTAAATTAATTTATAACAATGAATCAATTATTTACCAACTCAAATTGTTCCGCATTATCTTATACTCCTTTCTGTTCATTAAATTAAAACTAATATAGATAAATTTAATAACACTTACATTTAATAGGTATTATGCAATCGCTGAATCTCAGTTACTAAATGTATCAGAATTTAACGTACAACGACTCTCGCCGTAACAGTGAATTAGTATGTTTGTTTTAGATTGTACTTCGGTAGTTAAGTTCAGTTAACTTCTTGAATGTCAAATAGAAGATTTTCAGAAAATTAAATTATGCACATCATATTAATATAATAGTGTAACGTAAAGTTTATTAACTATTGTTTATACGAGCTATGCGAACATAAATCATAGGCTGCGAAGGATACATTTCTGGAGTTTTTACTGGCATTACTCAGCTCTTCTAACATTTAAACGCCCATAAATAATAAGCTATCGCGATATTCAACATATTATATATTATTATATACGTGCAAAAATGTTAAAAATATGAATATTATTTCCAACCAAACGGTAAACACCGGCCGAGAACGAGAAAACAATGACGATTAGAGAGCAACATTTAAAAACATGTACGCTGGTCCAGGTACAAAAGTGTACCACATTATATTAAAATAATAATAATCTGTCTCATAAGGAATTTCCGATTTCGTACACCGGTCCACTGTTAGCGGCGCGAAATTCCGTACTATATCGGAACCGGTTACCGAAGAAATTATTATTATTATCATCGTTATTATCATAGTAACCATCATCATCATACAGCCAACGAACACTAACGGGCCCATATAATACTGTACAGAGTAGAGGTATACACGCGGTGTACTGCGACTCTCATCCGGGGTCAACCGTGGTTTGACCTTAAATGGCTCGGGCGCTCACCCGCCACCGCCGCCCACAAAAACTGCGTTCGCAAGATTTTTCACGACCTCGACGATGAGTGGGTGTTATCGGATTGCCTGTTTTTTTTTTGATTTCGGGCCGACATAATAATATTATTTAAAATTCTTCCACCACGTGTGTGGACAAGAATCTCAGCAAAATCGTGTACATATTTTTCAATAATTTTTTTTAAAAATTCACTCGTAAAATTAAAACCTTTTAAAGTCATATTATATCACTTTTAAATGTACCTATGAGGTGTAGTAAATAATACACTATGACTAACACACGTTTGCAGTGCACCCAGAATAGATAACTGTACTGGTGAGATGGTGAGTAGCGAGATGACAAACGGTTTCAAAATTGATTGCGAGAGGGAGAATTCTTATTTTTTTAAATCCTTATGAATTTCCTGAGGTGTTGGTTTTATAATGATGATGTGTTTTTATAATAACTTTAAGCCACACCGAAACATTTTGTGTAAATTTATTTAGCCTTTTTCTTATGCGTTAAACAAACGCCACGTGCCAACAACTGCTACAGAAGTTAGAAAATTACTATAGCTTGCAGCGTTAGTCTAAATTTTTGCTTTCCCACATACTCCTTCACAATAATATTATTTTATCGTTACGAGTACATACGATTTTCAGACGAACAATTGTGATAAAATCTTAAGTATCGGTTAATCTCACTATCTTCGATAATTCTATAGTTTTCAGATATGGCAATCGAGTTTAATTTTCCGAACGAAGGAGTAAAATCTTTAATGGTACGAATTTCGTATTACCAACGGTCTCAAAACACGAAATTGTATTTCAAAACTTTTTGTACTGAGAGTAATTTATTTATCAGTAGTTGACGAGTTTCATTCGGAATTGTTATGACGATGAAGCGAGACAGAAGATTCATTGCTTTCAAACTCAAACTAACAACGCACGTATGGCTCATCAATCGTCATGTATCTAAAACGATGTCGAATTCCTCGGCAAAGTTTTGTTCACGTGTGCGAAACGTTGTACGTTGATATAACGTAGGTACTATCTAGTATTTTCGGATAGAACTTTAAAAAAATGTTTTACTAAGCTGCGCGTAGTACACCTAGTTTCGAAAGAACAAAAAATAAATCCTTGTCCCCCTGATGGCGAATTTTGAACACTAGCTGTTCTGAATGGTATTTCGTCGTTAGACACATATTTACTATATGTAGTATGTTATATAGGTAATTAATTAAATTCCTCGCTGCACTCGAATATTGGATTTCTGGTATACACAGTGACCACAAAATTCCATTTTTGGTTCCTGTCTTAGAAAATCCATCATTGTAACACACAATATAATATAATAAACACTTAATACATTATTTGCATGGATTTATATTTAATCAATAGAAGACTGCGGGATATTCACTATCGACTTCAACTATTAAAAGTGGAAATGGATATGATTGCATAACAATGCTATGATAATATAATCGTCTAAACTTCTACTCAGGGCTGTAACTCTGACAGCTGAGTAGTTCCAAGTAATTAACAGTTCAATATAGAAATCACCAATCAACACTATTCCGGTCATTGTTATAGATTTTGTTCATACCATATTCTTGTACAACATTTCAAAAGTTGTTGTCAGCGTGAGCTTTGAAGAAAAAAATGTTTAATGGTATTTTAAGACGAACAAGATGCGAGCAAATGTTTGACCAATCCAACAATGACCAACAAAATGTGTTGATAATTTCCAAATAAAAATGTTAACTTTGCTGTGCCCAGTTCACGGGTATAATATTTACACGATGCACTACGTACATTGTACATATTGGTGATAAAAGTTATCCAAACGGCGAACCGACATGTGTTCAATAGGAATATCCCATAATTTTTTTTGAAAAAAAAAATCGTTATGTACACGGCCTGTACATTGCGCATAAATATTATTATTATTCAACCCCCATTATAGCGGTTTCGCGACAAAATCGTCGCATCCTTCGGTGTGGCAACGCTCGATTCGTGCGAGTTTTATTTTAAATAGGTTAAGCACCAATCAAGAGTGATGCCTACACACAATTGAACAGTTCAGTGATCATGAATATATTATATTATATCGTATCGCAGGGAAATTAGTAGGGCGATTGTTTCGTTAAATCGTTCAAAACGTCGAGATTCTCGCGTTTTTTTATCCCCCTTTCTACTGGTCTTTCTACTTTCTAAGGTCTTTTTGATAGTATTACGACCGACGCGGCGACAGTGTGGGTTATTCGGATGTAATATTCTCTTGTCATATTATAAGGCGATACTATAACTCCCCTAATTACACGGTATTATTAAATAAATCATCTCCTAAGTAGGTGTCAAATCTCAGTCCATTACAATAATATTGTGTGCCCATTACAATCGTTATTCCGAGACTCGTCGCACGCCACCCGCCAGAGACCGATGATATATTATATTTCTTACTGCAGCTAACGCGTATCTTTCAGCTCAAATCTGTAAAGCAAGGGGAATAATATTAGGGGTCTAAGTCTTTAATATAGGTAATTTGAGAATTTTAAACAGTTAAGCATTAT